TCCAAAATTAAGTATCCTGATAAATCTCCTCTCTACTCGAATAAAACTAACGAACCCTAACAAATTTAACAATTAAATTAATTTAACAAGGCCAGAATATTGACCTTTGTTAGAAACAAATTAATGCCACTTCCAGGAGGGGAACCTTAATTGTGACAAGCTATAATTATATATTAATTCAAGCTCAAATCCGTTAGTATTAAATCTTTCTATATTTTAAATTGTTAAAAAGTGAGTGCTTGTTATTTTAGTGGTCAGGGAAATGTGAACGCCTTCTATTTAATTTAATGAACTTGGTAGCATACAATCCCCCCCTCAGCACATCTCAAAAGTATAAGTAAATCCGTGATTAATCAAAGCATAATAATAAAAAAAAGCCAGTCCAACCATTGAAGTAGAAATTGGCTTTTTCGCCTTCATTTCCCACTATGTAAACAAAGATCCAGTAGCGTGAGTCTTTATATTTAGTTTTGGACGTCAGGAATCATGCTAAATAAAATAATAGTAATAACAATAACTTCTACCCCACACTCTCTTGAAGTAGACATACTCGCGAGTTTTGCAAGACTTGATTTCTTCTTTTTTTTTTATATATTTTAAAATTATTTTGATACACTGATATAAAATATAAAAAAATATCATTTTAATATATTTTTAAATAAAAAATATTTATAAAAATAACTATTATTATAATATTAATCACTATCTTTAATTTTGACTTTCAAATACATGTTAAGCTACCATTAATAATATTATATACTAATAAGCGAAGTATTCTTAGTTTAAAAGCTTTTCAATTATTTTGTTTAAAAAAGGAGATGAATTTGAACATCTAGATTTTTTCATTTCTAAACATATATTTTTATATTTTTTATGTTTCTTTTCTTTAAATTGGATAAACTAATTATGTCAAAAATGATATTCATGTTATATTCATATTGCATGATAAAAGCATTCACTAAATTTTTTATTTTTAGATTTTTATATTGTTCAATCTCATATACCAACTCAATATTACTTTACTAAAATTATCCTAAAAAATACATTATTAATTTTTCATTATATGCTATTTTTATGATTTTATCGCGGTAGTAATGCACTCATGAACACAAATTTCTTTAAAACAATTACATTTGAAACTAGACATATTTTTACTAATCATATTAGGTCCTATAAATCTATCCTTTTAATAACTCTAATTCTATTAGGACATATAAATCCATCCTTTTAATAACTTTAATTCTAGCTTCTAGTAACACCATCTTATCTTGGTTAATTTCATTTAATGACTTAGTCTTTCATAGGTAAATGTTTCAACAACTACAAAGGTTAGTGTTGTTGCTACCCACACTAAAATAATTAAAAAATATATAAAATAATAATTTAAAATAATAAAAATCAAGATTAAAAAAATTTATTTTTCTCAACAATAATATTGTTAATACTAATTTTGTTATGAACTTAGCGCCGAAACTCTGATCAGCTTACAGATTTACATATGTGGTAATTAAGACAAAACGTTACTCTACTTCGATGAACAATTCGAGAAATCAGCCAAATGCAAATCAACCACAAGTGGTAAGAACTCAAGTTTTTTTTGTTCTCCAAGATGAAGAGGCTTTCTAGTTCAAGTTTCTAGTCTGGGGACCTTCCAAAGAAAGATGTTGTGGCTTGCACGCACGTTCGTAGCTGGTCAATGATTGTATTGATGATGGACACTTGGGCTAATCTCTTACCTGCAAAGCATGGAGCTTGGTTAATTACCTTTAATTAAGTACTCCATGTTTGGTTAATTCAATGACCTAATTGGCGATTAAGGAAACATCGTATCTCTATTGGACAGCGGAATCTCCATCACGTGGTCTCATCCAATCAAAGGTTGAGTTCTCAAAACTTGCACCAAGTCGCATATTTAATAATCTTTTGGTGTTTTAGTTGGTGCGGTCATTACCTAAGGCTGTATGGGTACTGAATAAAGTGATCATCCGTGTTTCTTGAGCGATAATGTTCCTTTTTGCATCCCGTTTGGTGCCGAGGGATAATTTTCTTTTAAGATTCGAGATTTGAATTGGTTTAGCAGTCTAATTAAGCTTATCTCCCCTTTTGTATTTCCTTTCTTCTTCTTATATATATTAAGTGCGTTCATTCATGTTTACGCACAAACAAACACACCTACGTCCCAGGATAAATCAGTTTTAATCCAGTCTAATCTTAAAATTAGCTAGAAAAATAATAATTTAATCTATAATTTGAATGTAAATATGCAATAGGGTAGCCAGATAACAATAATATCATAACGAGAGATTGTGTATATTAAGGTACACGCAACTAATGTTCTTTTGACATGACAGTATCATATATTAACGAGATGGACCATGTTAAACATGTGCAAGAGGTCATGTAACCTGCGAAAATGAGGAATATATATATTGTTTATAACCAGATAGGCACACCTAACCTCCCCCGTCGACATAAAGTCCAGAGGGCCTTCTTTTAAAAAATGGGTGAAAAATGATGTCAATATTCCGATCTACAAGCCGATAGAGTGGGAGAAAGCGTGACTCATGCAAGCAATTTATGGTATTCAATGATAAAAAATTATAAAATACCTGGACAAAGTCACACAGATAAAATATATACCATAAAGAATTGAGCCCTAACTAATGAGATTCAAAATGTTTTCGAAGAAGAATCGTGATTTAATTAGCTATTCAAAATAATCTGATTTGTTATCATATTTGTAGTTACTCTTTCCTCCAAATTAAGCACTAGGAAAACTGTACAACTTAATCTTAAGAACAGCAGAATTTCTCAAATTCTATCAGCCTCGTTTCCCGAAAGCTGCTTACAACTTTATATATGGCGTGTCTCCTTGAAATTAAGTGCAAAGTTCATTGGCAAATAATATTGTACACGTCAATTAATTAATTCAGATCTTAGAATAAATTAAGCATGATGGAAATCTTTATATGTATGTCAAGTTTCTAATTTATCTTTTTATCAAGATTCTTAAACCACTGAGATTTGCTATGTGATCTGCACACAAAACACTTTCATTTGTCTAGGAAATCTTGAGGGATGTCGATGGTTGAATTAAAGATATAATAACAAGTTGAGATATTAACTTATTCATCATGTAAGAACATAATGAGCTCAAACATAAGTAGACTTAATCAGAAGATATGTGTGGAGAACATATTCTTCTGCCTTAATTAGTCATCTTCTGATCACCAGAAAGCAATTCTTTTCCCTTTTTGATGAAAAAGAAAACTAGTGAGTATCTTTTTTAAGTACTTAATGCAGTGACCAAAAGAGTAGAACTTAGCTATACTATCTCTGTGTGTTTTCTTTTTGTTCCTTTTGGCTTCGGAGTGTACAAGCAGTTGCTTGTTCATGACAGTTGCAACTGCCAACCAACAGCCTGGAAACAAAGAAGAGCAGATTACTTTTCTGCTTCCGAATTTCTGTATCCTTGTTATCTTTTTGCCTCTTTTTGGTAACCATACCAAAGCTAATTCTTTGTCATCTCACAACTTGGCGTTTTTAACTCGCTTTGATAATTACGTACGTTAATGCATTCTTTTCCCCTCGAAGCACACTATAGCCAGCTCGTTACATTACTTTTCCTGTATAGCCACTACTACAGCTAATGTGATGGAGCATTAGTCGCCAAACATGCCGTAAATCATTCTCCACAAGCTTCTTCGATCCCTGGTCCTAATTGGTGTCTTCTGGTTCCGATCTATATGTGATACCGTGTTTTAGCTCTTCTTTTTTTCTTTATTTTTTTTTCTTGAAATGTCAACACCCGCACGTCGTTTCCAATTAATTGGAAGTCAGAAATGCTCGAGCAACATATATTTGTCAAATATTTCTAAATGGGCGGTGGAATATTAGTAGCTAGACTTCTGATCCAGCGAAGGCATGATATATATATATATATATAAACTAGTGAATATATAAAAAAAACTGGTGAATATTTGAGACTTGAATGCGAGTCCATACTAGAAGAGGGGTGTCGTGTTGTGCAATATTCTAATGGATACTGTAGCCATAGTGTTTGTACCAATTGAAAGAATGGGACCCTGTGAGAAAATCCAGTCAATTTAACCCTATATTTGTCAATTTCAGGCCATTCCAGCCATTTGGTAACAGTGCGAGGACGTCTATTGTTCTTTAATACTCATCGAGACTTGCAGTGACGGAATGTAACTTTCAATGCTTAGGCCGCGAGGGATTCATGATGGCCGCCTCCCAGATCTTTAAGAAACTAAATTAACTTCCACCCTCATATTTGTGATTTCTCAGGTAAAGACCTTCTAAGATGTTAACTTGTTACACCTGTAGCCTTATCTCCTACTTTATATTTATTTTCATATTTGCCGTTGCATGTTTCTCATGCCGCCGCCCTTCAAGCGCAGAAATCTGAACATGAAAATAAAAAAGAGCTTGAAGTAATATAAAATAAATGACTGTTTTTTGTAGGTTAGATAAAGACGGGAAATGGCTGAAAACAAGAGCAATTCAAGATTTTACTGATTTGTTTGAACAAGAAGATCGAGTCAAATTACCAAGATTATTTTCCTCAAGGGCTACTTTACCGAGTGGGGACAAATACAGGGTCTAAAACGAGGAAGAGTACTTGAGCAGATGCTGTCCTAAAATAAGAAAAATATGAACAAAAATAAGGAAACAAGTGCAAAAAAAGGCAAGGCCCGGTTTTGGTAACAGCACGTGTCGATAATCTATTAGATAGACAGCTAAGCAGGGAATCGGGGACCCAGGTACGAGGAAATCATATTCTCCACTTGATGGGGTAGCGCTATCAATCATACTCGCTCCCAACTACCGACATTTGTCTTTAACAATCTCGTGTCTTCTTCTTAACCCCTCATTTGATTCTCTTGACCCTGAGGAATGGTCAATTAAGACACCTTGGTTGGATTAACCACTTAATTAAAAGAAAGAATTTGTTTTAATCTCTCATCAAAGGCCAAAACACCCACTTTCAACTTTCCACATAAAGCAAAAGATTGGCATCCTCAACATTTCTCCAAAAGAGGAGCAGCAGCTGCTCTTCATCCATCCATTCTCCATCATACCTCCTGCACAAGTATGCTTCTTTTCTCTTCTTTCCTTTATTTATTTTTTCTTGCTTTTTCCCCCCTGATAAATAGTAAACTCCCTATTTATAGACTTTTCTTTAGTTATCTATTTACATGAAATTACTTTCCGTTTATTCTCACTTAATAATAGACCAATTACTCTCCTATGCCTAGACTAATTAATACCACGTCTTCATTTCTATTTTTGAAAAAACAAATTACTGTTTCATTCCCTATAGTTCGTGATCCCTTCGCTTTAGTGTTTTTTTTTTTTTTTTTGTGGAGTATTTTTTGGACGGATCCCAACTTTTTATAGATTTATACGATCAATTTTTTTTTTTGGAGATTCTTTATCAGCACTAAGCAATATATTAATTCAAGAAGGATTTTTCCTGTAATGTTTTTGACAATTGACTTAGTTGTGAATTCAGATCTTGGATCTGCCTAGCAACAAAAGAAGAGTGAGAAAACCCCAAGATCAGCGAGATGGGGAGAGGAAAGATTGTGATACGCAGGATCGACAATTCGACGAGTAGGCAAGTAACTTTCTCCAAAAGAAGAAATGGGTTGCTTAAGAAGGCTAAGGAGCTATCAATCCTTTGTGATGCAGAAATTGGAGTTATTATCTTCTCCAGCACAGGCAAACTCTATGACTATGCAAACACTAGGTCAGACCTCTCTCTCTCGATCTATCCTCTTGTATTTCTATATATTTGGTTTATACAGGATATATGATTTAATTAACAGTAATTAGTTCACATGTACTGATATGCTTGCTCTTGATTTGTCCTCCATCTCCATCTTTATCTTCCTTTTCTCCTCCTCTTTCACAAAATAAGCAGTTCACATGCTCATCAGGTAATTGGAATTTAATTTTTACATAAAATACAGCTTCTAAAATATGGTTCATAGAGATAAGGTTATTGCATAAAATAAAGTTACGACTTTGTTTCGCGAGAGCTTTCCTACCTGAAGACCACCTTTTTTAGACGCATGCATGTTATTACCGGCCGACACCTTAATTTCTCATCAGGGATTCAAGGTGATCAGCCCGGTTATTATATTGTTGATTCACATTTATTTTTTTAGGCACATAAGCAGCTTATTGCAGATGGTAATGGCTGTAGTTTGAGTCTGAAATACAAGTAGCTGTAGTTTTACACAGTTTTATTACTGTTTGAGAGTGTCGGCAGCGGTTATTTTTTAAAATATTTTTTTTAGAAAGATATATTAAAATAATATTTTAATTTTTAAAATTTATTTTTAATATCAATATATTAAAATATCTAAAACCACAAGAAAAGAATAATTTAAAATTCAAAAAATAGCAAAGGTCTAATTACGTTACAATCCAACATACAACCAGGAAGAAACCTGTATTTACTAGGTTTTAACGTTATTCACCAACTACTGGCTAGATACTGTATAGCCACAGTACAGATCAATAGTGTTTTAACAGTTATTTTTTTAGATATACATTACGTATACAGTGGCTTCGATGCTGACACGAACATCTGTTTTGTTAAGATAAAAATCAACAATTAAGATAAAAATCTCCTTGATCCCTTACATATACACAAAAACAAATTCCATGAGAATGAATATACATTCTTCACTTTTCATCTAAGATTTTAGACATTGGATCTTTCATATAGTATAAGAAACTTTTGGACTTCAATGAAGCTCCAGGTTTTTGGATACTGCCCATATAATTCTTTCTTCAAATTAATTAAATTGATATTTCAATATCAGGCATGTTGGATCATGCACGACTCAAGCCTCGGTGGGTTTCATTTTCACTCGAGGAGGAGATACAAGTGAATATTATATGATGTAATAAGAACATAAATATTAGAGTCGATTTTTGCTCTCCAACTAATTACATGTCAATCAATAATAATTTCTCTATAAATGACTTTAAGAGTGCACTTCTTATATGGACTCAATGTATTAAAAAAATAAATTATCTAAATATTACTGAGGAAGGAATGCGCACATTTTTTAACCATCGAATCAACCTCTTAAGATGTATTAAACTCTTGAATGAATGATCTTTTTATAGTCTAATTCTAATGATTCTTTTTAGCTATATATAACTCGAGAGAATATCTAGAAATTAAAATTTTCCCTTCTTATCTTGTAAAGCATTCAATGCATTCTCAATTAATCATATAGTATAATTTTACAAGATATCATAAACAGTAGCTCTGTTATGGGGAAATCTTTAAATTGATATTTAGATGTTACTCCTTACAACCTCTCTTTTTAAAACCGTTCATAATAATAACTTAGATTCATTTACTGGAAAGTAGTTTTTTTTTTAAGATGTTACTCCTTACAACCTCTCTTTTTAGAACCGTTCATAATAATAACTTAGATTCGTTTGCTGGAAAGTAGTTTTTTTTTTTTAGAAAATGAATTTTGAGAAAGTAAATTATTTTCTGATATTTGGTAGTATAATGAAAAATAAGTTAGAAAACATTTTCCAGTATTTGGTTATGTCATGGAAAATAAGCTAGAAAATAATTTATTAATATTTTATTTTTTAAAAATTTATTAAAATAATGAAGAACAAATCTTACAAATTCAAAAGTTGAATGAGAATGAAACTAAAAAAAATATAATTTCATAAATTATCTCAAATAAAATAAATAATAATCAAAATAATAGAGATCAAATCTAAAATATAAAAAAATAAAAGATGAAGAAATTAAATTAATAGTATTAACATTTCATAAGTTATTTCAAATAAAATAAGTAACAATCAAAAGTTTGAGGATCAAATTTGATATAATCAGCAAATAATATAATATTCTTAAATTTTGCACAACTTTCAAAAAGTGTTTTTCACCCAAATTTTCTAGAAAAACACTTTTCTTGAAACCAAGCCAATTTTTTCTTTGACTGGAAAGTGTTTTCTGTTGATCAAATTTTCTAATGACAAACAAACACAATAAAATTTGAAAAGTGATTTCTTGAAAACCACTTTTCGAGAAACAAATATGGCCTTAAATTAATCTTAATTATTCAAATTTACCCTTGTCGTATCTAAACATTTACCTTCTTATTTTTTTAGAGTTAAGTGATTTCCCGAAAATCACTTTTCGAGAAACAAATATGGCCTTAAATTAATCTTAATTATTCAAATTTACCCTTGTCGTATCTAAACATTTACCTTCTTATTTTTTTAGAGTTAAGTGATTTCCCGAAAATCACTTTTCGAGAAACAAATATGGCCTTAAATTAATCTTAATTATTCAAATTTACCCTTGTCGTATCTAGACATTTACCTTCTTATTTTTTGAGAATTTGTTCATTGGTCTAGTATATTTGCCGTGCTACACTTATGGGTTGGATTGAAAAAAAATGAATATAAGAAAAAGCGTTTGGCTAGATGGAAGTTATTTGATATTCTCATCTTTTTATCCCGATCAAGTTTAAAATTAAATCATATAAAAATTATTTAAATATAAATCAATTGATTTAGTAGGTCTAAAAACAATCCAAATGATTAATAAAAAGTATAATTTGACTTAAAAAATAGTGGTGATAATTTTTTTTAATATTAAAATAATAATATATTGGATCAACTAGACTTTACAGCTTAACCCGTGATCTAGGTCATGAATTTATTAACTTACTATAACTTTTTTTTTAAGCTATTGTAAATTATTTTTTACTTAATTATACGATAACAAAAATAGATATTCATAAAATTAAACATAGACTAAATATCAAGATATTTGTTTGAAACTACGATAATCTTATAAACAACAAATTGAAATAAATTATAAATATCAATGCAAAACTAACTAAATATTGAAAAATAAAGCAAAAGTGAATCTAAATTTAATGTTGAAGAATAATAATAATAATAATAAAAGATCTCCTTCACTGATTATGGGTGGTTCATGCCTCATTTTTTCAGCATGTGGTGGCATTCTTACAAAAAAAAAGTGGGATTTGTAGTTGTTTCAATTCAGTTATAGTGTTTTATAAAAATGAAGCAACACTTACCATTAAAAAAATAAAATTAAAAAAAAAAAGAGAGAGAAAAGGAAGGGTCTTCTTCACTTGCAAAAAAAAGCGGGATTTTTAGTTATTTCAGTTCGATTAGTGTTTTACATCTTTGCATTCAAGGCTTATAAATCCTAATCCAGCTCTTGTTAATCCCACTTTCTTTTGGCAAGAGTGCCACTAAATTACAAGATCATTTGTAAATTACTAACTTGCTATAACTATTTTTAGGTCATGAATTTATTAACTTGCTATAACTATTTTTTTTAAGCTATTGTAAATTATTTTTTACTTAATTATACGATAACAAAAATAGATACTCATAAAATCGAGCATAGACTAAATATCAAGATATTTATTTGAGACTACGATAATCTTATAAAAAACAAACTGAAATAAATTATAAATATTAGTGCAAAATTAACTAAATATTGAAAAATAAAGCAAAAGTTAATCTAAATTTAATGTTGAATAATAATAATAATAATAAAAGATCTCCTTCACTGATTATGGGTGGTTCGTGCCTCGTTTTTTCAGTACGTGGTGGCATTCTTACAAAGAAAAGTGGGATTTGTATTTGTTTCAATTCAGTTACAGTGTTTTACAAAAATGAAGCAACACTTACCATTAAAAAAATAAAATTAAAAAAAAAGAGAGAAAATGAAAGGTCTTCTTCGTTATTTATATGAACAGTGAAAAGGTGGTTCATGTTTAGATTTTTTGTATGTAGTGGCACTCTTGCAAAAAAAAGCGGGATTTTTAGTTATTTCAGTTCGATTAGTGTTTTACATCTTTGCATTCAAGGCTTATAAATCCTAATCCAGCTCTTGTTAATCCCACTTTCTTTTGGCAAGAGTGCCACTAAATTACAAGATCATTTGTAAATTACTAACTTGCTATAACTATTTTTAGGTCATGAATTTATTAACTTGCTATAACTATTTTTTTTAAGCTATTGTAAATTATTTTTTACTTAATTATACGATAACAAAAATAGATACTCATAAAATCGAGCATAGACTAAATATCAAGATATTTATTTGAGACTACGATAATCTTATAAAAAACAAACTGAAATAAATTATAAATATTAGTGCAAAATTAACTAAATATTGAAAAATAAAGCAAAAGTTAATCTAAATTTAATGTTGAATAATAATAATAATAATAAAAGATCTCCTTCACTGATTATGGGTGGTTCGTGCCTCGTTTTTTCAGTACGTGGTGGCATTCTTACAAAGAAAAGTGGGATTTGTATTTGTTTCAATTCAGTTACAGTGTTTTACAAAAATGAAGCAACACTTACCATTAAAAAAATAAAATTAAAAAAAAAGAGACAAAATGAAAGGTCTCCTTTGCTGTTTATATGAACAGTGAAGGGGTGGTTCAAGTTTAGATTTTCCGGTATGTAGTGGCACTCTTGCAAAAAAAAGCGGGATTTTTAGTTATTTCAGTTCGATTAGTGTTTTACATCTTTGCATTCAAGGCTTATAAATCCTAATCCAGCTCTTGTTAATCCCACTTTCTTTTGGCAAGAGTGCCACTAAATTACAAGATCATTTGTAAATTACTAACTTGCTATAACTATTTTTAGGTCATGAATTTATTAACTTGCTATAACTATTTTTTTTAAGCTATTGTAAATTATTTTTTACTTAATTATACAATAATAAAAATAGATACTCGTAAAATTGAGCATAGACTAAATATCAAGATATTTGTTTGAGACTACGATAATCTTATAAAAAACAAACTGAAATAAATTATAAATATCAATGCAAAATTAACTAAATATTAAAAAATAAAGCAAAAGTGAATCAAAATTTAATGTTGAATAATAATAATAATAATAATAATAATAATAATAAAAGATCTCATTCACTGATTATGGGTGGTTCATGCCTTGTTTTTTCAGTATGTGGTGACATTCTTACAAAAGAAAGTGGAATTTGTAGTTGTTTCAATTTAGTTACAATGTTTTACAAAAATGAAGCAACACTTACCATTAAAAAAATTTTTTTTAAAAAAAGGGTTTTCTTCACTGTTTATATGAACAGTAAAGGGGTGGTTCATGTTTAGTTTTTCCGGTATGTAGTGGCGCTCTTGCAAGAAAAAAAAGGGATTTGTAGTTGTTTCAGTTCAATTATAATGTTTTATATTTTTACTTTTAAGGCTTATAAATCTTAATCAAGCTCTTGTTAATCCCACTTTCTTTTGCAAGAGGGCTTGGATATTTAGATTGCAAACCTTCTCTTTCACTGTTGTGCTAGGCAATGCTCTTCTCTTGCCAGGATTGCAACTATGCAATACAAAAAGCTTCTTGGAAGACCAACGTGGTATTAGATTTTCCAGTGATACACGCACACTCAGATATATCTATATATCTGAGTGTGCGTGTATCAGTGTGTAAAATCTAATAGTGAGAAAGCTTTTACGTGCATGGGCTAGCTTAATTAACATGCGTAGCATTAGGTTTTTCCAGAACTGCTAATCGAAAAATTGCATCACGGTAAAGAACCTTGATGACAGTGAGGATTCCGGGCCTTTTTGCCTAACCATTATCGAGATGTAAAGTAAATTTTTTTTAACTGAGAGATATGAAGTAAATTGTCCTAGAATGAAGTTTTTACCCAGGTCTATGGGGTGCTTGGTTCAAGAGAAAAATTGTTGATACACCTGTGCTGGGACTTGGGAACCAATGATATATATGCACCTTCAGTATATACACATTAACCGAATCAAACCCTTAAACAAGTTTACCAATTGCATAGGATTAATTAAAATAAATATAGAGAATTTTATGTAATAAAATTATCATCTTTGAATGTTAATCAAACGTTTTTTATATATATATATATATAACACCTTTTAAATTTTCAATTATGCTTTGTCGGCTTCATAGTTTACACCTTTTTTCTTCATGATGCCCACGCTTCTTTATCATTTTCATTATGTTTATTCATATTTATATTTCCTCGTTAGTTTCCTTTGCGAGCTAGGTTCAGCTCTGTAGAAATTGTTCATGAACTTGAATTAACTATGAAATTTAAAGGATAGACAACGATCAGTCAGCCAAATTCAAAAGATAAGGTCATATTTGTCAAGTAATACTAGAAGTGAAAATTGAATAGCAACAGGTATAAGAAAAACGTACGGTTAAGATATTAGAAGGCAAGATAAACAAACCTGTAGAACACCAAGTTAAAGCATAATTGAGATTTGTTTCATCAATATTCTGTGCGGATGATGAAGATCTCCTTATTTATAAATTAAAAAAAAAAGCTTAAGGACTAAAAGTAATTTAAATAATTAGAATTTAGAGCCTAATAGTAATTTTTCCTAAACAATAATCATATAATTAATGATAATGAATGAGTGAACACCTCATGGAACACTCATCCATGAGGCTGAGCGTTTGAGCCTCACCTATCGCCACCTATAATTAATCCCCACGTCTAATTGTAGCTTCTTCGTTTAAGCTTTGGTCTCTAAATAGGAGTGATTAAGAGTGATGTGATATATGCATAATATTTATATTTCATGTACCAAAAAAAAGAGTATAATTAACCTCTCCTTCGACTGCTGCTTGTTTTCCAAAATTTTCTCATAATTTAGATTCAAAATATATATAAAACTTACCACAAGATACTTAATTGTCTTTCTAGTTTATACGAAAAATAAAGGATGCCTTTGATTTTCCCTTAAAAGATATATAGACATGTATGTGCAACTTTATTTAATTTAGATTGGAATAAAGAAAATTGTTTAGATAAAGAAGAATAATAAAGGGCTTTTGACGTTGAGTGCCTTGTGTCGCTTCCACCTCTTCCATGAAGATCAAAGTCGTTCCCATATCTAGCAAGTTATAATACCAATATCCAAAAGAGTATATGCATCCTCAATTTCTTATATTTGCGAACTTTAACGGTCTGTTTTTATATCTAGCAAGATATTCCCATATCTTTTTTTTTTTTTGGTCTTATCAAAAGCAGCAACTCGTTTAGTATGATTGGTTTTAATTTTTAGTTTTTGATTTCCAGAAGTGATGGTAATTACTAGTTGTTGTTATTAGTTCATAGCGGTGCATACTCGCCAAAGGTGGTGGTGAATATTGGAGTTGCTGGTGGCCTACGGGTGCTAATATGGTGGTGATGGTAACTAGTAAGATACTGGTCGGGGGCACCGGTAGTTGGGCCATATGCCCCTTGAATATCTGTAGTAGCGACAATAAACGAGTCTACGATATAATTGCAGTGGTCACCACGTGCTGGTGGTGATGGCAGCCCCCACTGACCTGCGGCTGTGGTAGCAACCAGCCAAACACTTCACCAAAGCACCTAACCTTGGATCAATAGCGTCAATGTTGGCGTGGTTACCTGTGGTGACCGGTGAAAATTGTAACATATAGGAAGGTCGCAGTTTAGCTTGCTGCAACCGGCCAATCATGGAGTTGGCTAGGCGGGCCCAGTGGACATATTAAGTCTGTATTCAGCGATGAAAAATTGAATAACGTTGATAAAATCAGGTATTGTTAGTAAAATCACTCTTTTATTTTAAAAAATCAAGCCAATCAGTTGCCAAATTTAGTTTCTTCAAACGAAAAAACGAAAATATTGGCAACTTTTCATTTTTAGGCTCGTTGAAAACAAATTCAAAGCGCTGAAGACCGAGGGGGGCACAAGAAAGATATTTGAGTACGTTCTCTTTGCCTGTAACTGAGACCAAGGTCCTAGGACCCTGGCCAGTAAAGGGCAATATTCCACACCATACGTCGTTGCAGCCTTGAGAAGTGACAGGTAAAGACAGGGTGCGCCAGCAACTCTCATTTGTTCACTTGCATCTAAACTGTAAATCATTCGAACAGTGACCAGAAAATATGGACAGTATCCCAATTTCACGTGCAAATTTAAGAAGGCATTAATTAGTTACATCAGATGCGCTATAGTTTTCTTTCAATTGTGAGCATGCGTCCCGCTTCTTACTTGTGGATTGCACCTTACTAGTATCATTAGTTTATGAAATTCCTGGAGGCCAAATTCTAAGAATTATCACCACAAAGAAGAAACCATGACTTTCTTTCCTTTTTAACTTCCTGCTCTCATTCAGTATGAAGTCCATCATCGACCGCTACAACAAACAGAAGGAGGAGCAACAGCAGCTGTTAAATCCTGCTTCGGAAGTCAAGGTATGTACTCCGCCCACCACCCCTATAACTTGGCAGCTTTTACAGCATGCATAGTGGCATATGCATTTGAGTAGTTGAATTACTTCAGGAGGATTGCTGTCAATGGCTCTGAAGGTCAATCTATACAGGAACAATTATAACCTGTTACGCGGTTTTTCACCGTTCCCATAGGGGAACTTTACTGGGATTTAAATCTGCCCCTGATTTTTTTATTTAATAAAAAAAAGAACGCCAAAAGTTGGCGTCAACAAGCCACAGAGCAGTTGGTTCCACAAATAGAGCACTGTCAGCCAGAATTAGGGATTTGGATCCAAGGCACCCGTCATTCACAAACACTAGATAGATTATAATAACTGTATGTCAAAGAGATGGCTCCAAGGCTAAACTTCGCATGGCAGCATTGTGGTTCCAAGTCATATACAATAAAGATGCATGGAAGATCATCAACTCTGAGCAATCATTATCACACCATGCATGAGGTTAACCATGAATGATACGATCTTGTAACGGGCCAAGCAACGTCCACTTTTAACTTTCTGCAACCAAATATGGCAGTCAATCCCCCTACAGGAACATCTACAAATTTAAAACATTTAATTACCTTGTGTGCAAAACTCTGTACACGCATAACCATCTTATTGGTTGTAATTGCAATTCAAAATGTTTTTTGGTTTATAAATATCCGATGACAAATTTTTTTAATTTTTTAAAATTTATTTTTGACATGCACATCTAAAAACACAATAAAAATGAAGTTTGATCAAAATAAAAATACAATAACATTTTCTTGAAATGTAGGTTTGGCAGCAGAATGCCAAACACACCCCAAGTGTTGTGTGTAGATTGTTGTGTGACACTCAAATTTCTAAGGCAGTCACTTCTTAATGCAGCTATCATCAATTCTATTCTACATGAATTATTGATTGTCAAATGATTTGTGCTTCATTTAGTTTTGGCAAAGGGAGGCAGCGAGCTTGAGGAAGGAACTGCAATACCTGCAAGAATGCCATCGGTAAAGTTAATAATCACCCAAAATTCTCAATAGATGATCTCAACAACACGTCACCCCTGGAATTGAAATGATGATGTGTAGGTTTGTCTGATCAAAAAATTTACTGCCGTGTGACCTTACTGGCAAAAATATCTCTAAATGTTTCATATCATTGATTACATTTGCAGCCACATCCGCCAGAAAGGAGAAGCTACCAGACTTTTTAAGTATTTGTGGACAGTTTTTTTTTTTTTTCAGGACTATATTCATGGACAAGTATAAGACTCCGGCACCACGCCTAATACTTGCATCTCTGAAATTGCAGGCAATTAATGGGAGAAGAACTGTCTGGTTTGAGCGCCAAGGATCTACAGAATCTAGAAAACCAGCTGGAGATGAGTTTGAAAGGAGTTCGAATGAAAAAGGTAAAGCCCTCCTGATCTCAAGATCACTTTTTATATGCATATGCAGCATGCACATAATGCTGATGCAGCCCTTTTCTTTTTACACAGGACCAAATTTTAACTGATGAAATTAAAGACCTGAACCGAAAGGTTTTCCAAGACTATTGACTTCAATAATTCCCGAATTGATTGTGAAGACATTCTCATGTTCACTGGCTTTCATTGGCTTCATTACAGGGTAATCTAATCTATCAAGAAAACCTTGAGCTGCACAAGAAGGTTAAACTCGTCAGTCAAGAAAATTCGGAACTGCGTGAGGTACAAGTCTTGGCAGCACATGAATCACTAAGAAATATTTTTCACCTCCCCTTCAGCTCCAAACTTAATCTTTTACCACCAAAAAGGAACCTTGACAGAATATATACACCCGGTCGGTGTAGAATGCACTCCCAATCCTACAACCAGTTAGCTCTTCAACATAGAATAGAATTTAATGTCTTGTGCATAGGAACCCTATCAAGAGCAGTAAGCCATAACTAACATAAAGTGAAACCTAAACTTCAGGATTTTAGAAACTGAACACTCATAACCGCACTCTTATCCCAGGTTTATGGAAAACAGAATGTGGATGGAGCAAACAGAGCTTCCAAGGCCCCTTGCACAGTAGGAAATGGATATGACTCGCATGCCCCAATCCACCTCCAATTGAGCCAACCACATACTCATAACATCGAGGCACCAGGAAAATCAATGAAACTGGGGTAAGTTCTTTTCGCGAGATATGGGAAACTGTACAACTGATAGTTATGAGAAATTGGCTTAACCATAATCCAATGACATTCTTTTCAAAATTTGCAACAGGCTGCAACTTCAATAGTGAAAGCAGTTTATATCTGAAGATGGTTATCAATCATCATCCATTAAATTGATCCCAAGTTGAAGTGTGCACGCTTTCTAGCGATGAGATCTCAAGCCTCAGCTAAGATAAATATGTTCAGCAGCTCAACCATCCTATTTGGTATGATATATTTTATACAATGTTTAGAGAATGATGTAAATGATTGCTGGACAAGCTATCTGTATCAAATATGCAAGAATGGAAAGCTCAATATGAGTTGGGTACTCTAGACGTCTAAAACATTTAAATGTGATCAACAATATTGAACTACTAGAAGAAATGTGCTATGTATATATGCTTTGCTTAGTGAAGATTCATAAGACTAAGAGGGAGACTTGCGCAACTGATGATAGTTATTTTATTGGACGATATAATCCGTATATGCTTTCCTGTAATAGCATACATTCTTCGATTCTTTAACTAGAAGTTCACAAAAGAACATGTAGGAAGTCAATAAAACAATAATATGCTGCTTGACCTTACAACATACTAACTTTAAATGAGACGTAGTATAGTTACCAAAACAGAATGCTTGATTTATAGTGACAAAAACATAATCCTTGTAGTTAAACCCAATAAAACCTAGTACATTTGTCATATAGATGCAGCAAAATCTAGGCATTGAGGGAAAAAAAGCGTAACTAGAACAGGATTTTTCATACTGTAAATGAAGAAAAGCTGCATTTTAGTATCATTAAATGATTAAAGAATAAAAATGCTGTCACAAGCTTATGTTCTCTATCAGAAATTTCGTCAACTATAAACCTTGAATAAAGACTAAATTAAAAATCACAGCATAGTTTATGCAGTAATATTGCAAATAAAAAAAAACACGCAATATCTCGAGAATACAAGTTCATAAATCTAAAATCATCAGAAGAATGATTTACAGAATAGATAACCGTACCTCATTTCCCTTTGCCAGGTCTAGCATAGAACTCGGCTGACGAGCTCTAAGCAGACAGGACTCCTCGGTAAAAGCAGTGGATAATATCCAATACCTGAAGTTCAAGACCAATCAGGATTCTTTAAAGTACAAGACAGAGCATATAAAAGCATCGTGCTTGTGTGTGTGCAAAGGAATTCAGTAAACAAAGGGCAGAGCATCTACCTTTGGCCTTGTTCAAAGATTTTCCAGCGCCATTGTTGTGCTGTTACCCAAAGCAACATTAGTTTTAACTGCTTTCTTTTTTCATTTAGGGTTTTAGTTAAACTTTTTTCCTAAAATAACAAATGGATAATTTTCGTGTATAGCAGCTTCTGAGCGGTGTAACTTGCCATTTCCAAGTCTCAGGTAATTCCTAACACAGACTAAAAATTGCCTCTCTGAAATGGCTCATCAATATATAATGGGAAGCCAACAATAAATTCTCCATTTCAAAAGTGAAATTCCAAATGTTTAAGTATACCATCAAACTTCACAACATGAGAAAACAAACAATTGGGAATTGATAGTGACAGAAGCAAGTGATTAAAACCAGAGCAACACAACTGTAAAGGACATTTAGATGTTCATTAGTGGAAAAATCAGAAGACTGGCAAGTACAACCACTGTCAGCAAGCGTGCATGCTGATGCATCTTCCAATATTCATGCTTTACCAAACCTATGTTTCACTCACATGTGTCTACACTACATTAAATAAAGGAGATGGGAATGGATAGTGAGACAATTTTCATGGAACTTGTATTGTTTTGATATCGATTTTCAGATTAAAACTAAAGACATTCATAAAAATAAAAAAATTATACAAAAAAATCCACTTATCTGTGTTTCCAGCATCCACTGAGTTGCCTTTGCAGTAATCAATATATTTGTACCTCCACTCATAATAAAAAGATGTGCTGTAAAGAATAAAAAGATAATTTTTTTTCAGATTCATGTGTGCGCGAGTGTGACCAAAATTTCTCTTTGAGCCTCCATGCTGTTAAAGATTTTATGATTTTAACTTGGTCTTACTTTCGCAGACATAATAACACAACCATGAAAAATAAAAATGGAATTACTTCTACAGAATTTTAATACCTAGAGATCCCTCATGTGAGGCACTTGGCAACACATGATGGAGGCGAACTTCTTTTAGTTTGTTAACTTGGGTCTAAGTGATTTTGGGCCTCAATTAACTTCAATTTAGGCATTGATTCATAAGCTTGAGTATGTCAACAAGCAGCAACAAAATCTAACCTTTTATGGGCTCAGTTAGTTTTAATCTGGAGGTAACCTTACCCATACACATTTTCCATAAAGTTACTTTGTACAAAATTCAAAACAGCATCTCTGCAACCCAAGCCAATAACTTTACCGTTGCATAAGCAATGGCCCTTGAGTAAGATGGCTCTCTGAAATCAGGACCACGAGACCCATGTAAGCAAAAGGCAACAGTTAATGTGCCCCCTACCAGAACTAATACCATAATATAGAGACTGGCTGATTAGGAAGTGACGTGTCATAATGCCAGTGGCAAAAAAGGTTCTTAGTTCCATCAGTTAAACTACATAATGGATTGAGTGAGTCACCAAACCATGTATTCTCAAATTAATTTATAAAGAATTACTTTGTTTTAGAGACATACGAGCAAGATTTATTACATTTAATTTAATTTAATTTACTTACCATACTTTTCAGAGAACTGTGTAGTGTTACTGCCAGAAAGTAGTTACAAGTACCAAAATCAATCCACGTCTCCTGAATAAAAGCATATCTTGTTATTTCAAAACCAATAAAGGGAAGCTAGTAGCAAGACCGGAACAAGTTTCATGCAATGTAAATGAACATGATCCACAGTGGTTCTTTACTAACAGTTAATAGAACCATATAAATTTTATCTTGCAAAACACAAGCCCATTTATTTGAATTTCAAGATTTGATGATGACTATTTTCTTTTGATTTAAGAACATAACATGCAAGCATGATGACATATAACATGACCTACATGATTGTAACCTGCTTTCCGATTTATAACCTATCTTGAAAACAAATTTCTTGAACAATACCATAACCTGCAAGCATGATGACATAAAACATGAGCTACATGATTGTAACCTGCTTTTCAAGATATAACCTATCTTGAAAACAAATTTCTTGAACAATACCATATATTGCACGTAATCTTCAGACAATCATTGTTACACTATAACCTATCTGTCTAAGCAAAAATAGTTTTAAACAAACATGATATGAGTACACAATGCTCCCATTTAGCAAAAACAAAATGTGCACTAAATTCAATCAAAAAACCACTTAAGTGTCCTGAAAAAAAAATGTTGTAGCACATGCCATGATAGTGTTGGTTTGGGGAACTCTCTCCTCAGGAATAGATCCTCTGCTCCAAGGTTGCCAATTGATGATTTTAAAAGTCTTAATAACCCTTGAAACAAAGAGAATAGAGTGAAAGACTTGTGATGAATAAAGCATTGACTCGTAGCCTTGTTGGTGATGGAATAGGCTAAACCCACCTGAAGTATGGGGTCCAGCCAATAGACATACCTATTAGGGTTAGGTGTTTTAGCAACACATGTGAGATGCAAAAACCTGAGTTGAATGCATAAGGGGTTGGACATAAACTCATGTCTTTTAGGATCTACTTCTGGGATTCAAGTAGCTTTTCATGCCCGGTAAAAAGGGAAGTGGACGAGGCTAGAGTTCTAAGAGAAGAGGAGGAGGAGAATGGAGAAGGTGCTCTGAATTGCATTTATTCAGGTTAGGTCAAGGACTCACTACTCTACTGATATTAAAATACCCGTTTTCATCGAAACATTGAAAAACTGGGCTAGACCCAACCCGATCATTTTGGCCTGAGTCAACGCTACCTAGCCTAGTAAACAGTGGAGGATCTCTCCACTATTCACACCACTTACAGTAGCATTGAAGCTCATAACTCCCCTATAGGAACCATAATGCTTGACGAACACCGTAGACTATGAGCAATGCACTACAGGCAAACAAGGAAACTAGGCAAAAGGGGTATAATCTATAATGTATTCATCCTAGGTCATGGAAGAAGGCAGGCAACTCATCCAAAATATAAGATACTACGGACTTTTATTTTAAGGGGCTTGGTAGCCATGATAGGGATCAGGGCAATAGCTTTAGGGCTAGGGTTGTAAGGGTGTGTTTGTTTTTAAAGTAAGTTTTGTGGTTATGGTTTAAAAAAAAAACAGTTTATAAAAAGCATTTTTAGTTATAGTCAATTGGATTTAGATACGTGTTTTGTAAAAATTATGGTTGAAGTTTATACGTAGCAAAAAACATATATAAAATATTTGGATAACATATTATGGATTTTTACAAAGAGTTAAAAAGAGATTAGTAAAAAATATTTACAAAACTCATTTAAAAAAAATGTAAAAACTATTGTACAAAACCTGCGTTTTGAACTCAATTTTTTAGTGGGTCCTGTAACATAAAACTCAGTTCTCTTTGATACCAAACATGTTCCATTTAATTCACCGCTAACGTGAAAGCCAGCGGAAAACAAACAGAGTCTTAATTAGCTTGCTTCCTTTGTGTGTTATGTTAAATATATTTGGCCTCAGCAATCCACTCCGCTTCCTTCTCTCCTTTCCCTATAGTTTATATTAGCTAGAGGACCTCCACGCATTAGGCCTTGCTACTTATCCTAATGCACCCGTGTTCCTCAAATGGATCTCTTAGTTGTTGAGAGGGTTGCCTAAAAGCAATATATAAGGCATTCCCGGTAAATCTTACAAGTAAACCAGGTATAGAGATGGTGAATAGGGTTGCTATTTCCATTATTATATAATAAGAAAAGAATAAAAATTTCCATACCACAATGGATCTATGATAAGATCATTTATTTACAACAGAATGGTATAAAAAGTCAACATATCCCAATTAATACAAAAAATGCTACACAAAGCTTTGAGGGGAGTTCTAGATCTGGTCCAAGACAAAATATTGTAGAGGTTCATTGAAACCATTGAATTTGGAATATGGTAAAGTAGCTCCAGGGTGGGGAACTACTCCTTTGATAAGTGTCACAATGGCACTATTAGGGTGGGGAACTACTCCTTTGATGAGTGTCACAATGGCACTATCTGCAGTATTCCTTTCTATTATTTATTTTTTTATAATGATGGGATTTGAATGGATTAGATTTTCAAGAATCACTAAATTCTAGCTTTTCAATACAAAGTGAAGAGTCCAGCAAAAATAAAAAGTATAAAATAGAGTTACCAACTTCTAACTTTCCAGTGGTATTGAATACCCATAAGGTTTAAAACATGGAGGGTTTGATAAACATTAGAAAAAAAAAAAAAACTAAAACATGGAGGGTTTGATAAACATTAGAGAAAAAAAAAACTTGTCCTTGAGCATTGAAAGAATAGCAACCATTAGGTTAGGCAGAAAAATTAAAGAAAAGAAAGAAAACTCTACCTTTACTACAAGAAGCAGGAGAAAAAAGACACAGTGAGCCTACAGCAAATCATATCTTAGAGATAAAATCAGGAGAGCAAGAAATCATAGTCCATTCTGTTGAGATGGAGTAAGTGGTGATACAAATGTATAATCCCAATAAAAATTTCTCTATTAATTGAGAAGTCACACATTAAAATGAAACCTGAAATTTCCCTTCTGTACTTTATGGTTATTAAAGCAACCATTAAAAGGAGGGAGAAAGAAACATTGAACGTGGCCATGGCAGCACCCAGAACCATCGATAACTACAACTTTAAACACCATTTACAGTCATTTACCAGCTAAACATTACCAAATCAGCAGACAATCATGACTCCATCCAATATGAAAACATAGCAACGCTGATGTATAACTCAATAAATCAGCTTTCCTAGTAAAATTCAGAAGGGTACCTCTATTTACCATCTCTTGACAGAAGTTTCCGTCAACTCATCGAGAATATGTCACTCTACTCAGGCAGTCTCCGACCATAAAAAACTCTAAGTAACCATTAGCACAGGCTTTATTCTCCTCCACTCCTCTAGGTATACCAGACAACAAAACTCTTTTCCCCCTCCACTAGGATTGTATGGCAACACAAGCATAATCAAACAACCTTGAACAAAGTGCCGGCATCTTTTATGGATTTAAAGACTTGTTTCACGTATGAACCTTCTATGCTTAGAAACCTTATCGAGTGATCATATCCTTTAATCGTCAAATATAAAGCACAAATCAAAGTAAGAAGTGAAAGGGCCAAATCCCCTCATCTTCTACTTGTTTTCTGTCATCTTCATTTTCTTCAATTAAATTTCTTAACCATGTATTGAATCTCAAACTAAATCAAGCAAGCACTAGTTTCGATTGCATCCAATCCAAAGGGTTGTCTCCACCACCACTTGTTAAAGTAATCAGTATCGCACAAAACAAGTTAATGAGCAAACCGAATTAATAGAAAAATGAAGAAAATGAAGACAGCAATATGAGTGCGAGCACAAGATTTAATTGAATTGGTAAAATCCTGCCAGCCTGTACATAGAGAAAAAATTTCTTCACTGTTAGGGATAAAAACAACACAACACAATCATTGAGTAATTTCCGAGCTCAATCCAAAAACTCAATTACACCCACTCACATAACCTGAGGAAACCCCTCTCTCATCGCTGTGTCTTGAGCCAACACCACAAATTAGGACACGCCGCTAAACACTTACATGAATAGAGCTCCCGGAACCACTATGTTGTAACAATTCCTTTGTACAAAGGAAAAAATAAACCCTAGACCATGTCAAGCAAAGAAAAAACAGTGATTAAAAAAAACCTAGAAAACGTCAAACCATGTACAATTGCGAGATATGCTAGGAAATTGATATAAGAACCTCAATACACAGATCAATATAAAGTCAGGTAACAATAATCCATCACACAACAAAAAAACCAAGAAGTTATAAAAACAAAAATAATTACTGAAACATGTGTGTGCATAAGGAATGCTCGTTTACCGATAGAAATCAAAGCCAGTCCATAATCTTGAAACTAACTACTACACTCGGAAGTTTAAGCCCCTCGAGGTAAGAAAGCAACCTGCAAATAGAATACAAACCGATCACAACTAAAAAAACTGAAGAAAGACATGAAAATGCAGTTAATTCAAAGGTCATGGAAGTTCACGCACTTAATCAGGAAGACGAGAGAACATGGAGATGGAGAATAACAGAGAGAGGGAGGGAGATGGAGAGGGGGATCTAATTATTCTTAGGAGGAGGTAAATAAAAGGATCGCGCCTGTTTATGTATGTAAAAGGCTGCATTTTGTGTACGTGGATGGAGAGAGAAGAAAATATCCCAACTAACTTCATCCCTCGAGAGGCTTAAATAAGGAAGGGCTGTGATTTAGTACATTTGAACTTAATGTAATTAGTGCACTTGGATAAGTTTCCGTCTTTCGCGGGGCCCAGTGTGTGCACTCCTGAATTTAGCACTGAAAAAAGGCTTGCTTCAAATGGAACACGGTAATTTTAATTGCTCATTCAATATATTTTTTTATATCAATTATATTATAAAAATATATATATTAATTAAAATATTTTGTCAGGTACATCATTGTTTGTCTACTGGTGCTGGCAAAGGAATGGATGGAACTAAATATGATGGTTGTAGTAAAGAAAACCTAGATCATGCGGGAGCGGAGGCTTGATTAAAGATTGGCTCGGTTCTTGGATTAAGAGATTTGCGATCAACACGGATATTTATTCAACTGTCAAGGCAGAATTATGGGCAGTGGCGAAGGGCGTTGAGCTTGCGAGAATGCTAGGTATTCAGAAGCTAGTTCTTGAACCGAAAATCATGCTTGTGGTTAATCAACTTTGATTTGTTGAAGAACTGACTCGATAGGGATCGTTGGATAATTAAGCTAGTAGCCCTCCATTGAGTTTGTATTTAATTTTGTATTTCAATCTGATTTAGTAATCCAAGTTAACTTTTTTAATCTAAGGTTTTTTTACTGCTTTAATCCCTGTTTTCAATAAAAAAAAAATAATGATAATAATTGATTGTATGTGTTGCTCACGTGATCTTACTAGCAGGTGAAGTTAGAAGGAAGTTTTCTTTTTTAATACAACATGAACAATAATTATGAATATTTTTTGAAAATATTACGACATTAATTATTATGTGAAGCATGTGACAGCTCTCGTAAAAGAGTTGAAGGAAAATCATTTAGCATGGGTTATGGGAGGAACATGTAGATATTTGACAATTTTATTAATTGTATAATTTAACACAATGATCGATCGAATTAAAAAATAAAAATTATTTATCAATATAATTAACATGAAAAGTATTTTGAATTTATAGTCAAGGCTATCTTGATAATTAGATGATAAATATGAGATTTATTTTTTTTAAATAATTATTAGATAATAAAAGTATTTTTCAATCTTTTTTGTAATAATCATTATAAGATTTCAAATGGAGAACCAACAAGTTATCAAAACACGACGTGGGTCAGTGAGATGTTAATAAAAATAATAAATAAATACCATCAACTTCATTTTCTTATTAAATTATATTAGCTGCATAATTTTAAATGTTTCTATACCAAAACGAACTTGAGGTGTTGCAAAATCTGTTACCTAAGGCAATTAATTAAGAATATTTTTATTTTGAGTTACTGTAGTTTTTCTTTCTATAAAATGCAATTGAACATTGATTATTGTGGTTCTTACCATAAATTTAAAATTATCTTGATTGGTTGAGAGAAAATAATTAAAATTTGCCATGATTTACCAAGTCTTGTTTATATTCTTTTTTCTTCGAAGATGTTTTAACTTTTTCTTGGTTTTTTAATAACACGCAACCAACATTGGCTATCAAATCAACGTGTTGGAAGAAAAACCCACCTTCTTTCTACTAAAAAATCAACAGAAAAAAAAAATCATAAATCTAAATTCCCGTATTTTCCAAGAGAAACAACGGAGGGAAAAGCAAAGGAAAGGGCAAGAAAGAATCCAATTTATTGTCGCCACTTGTTGGCAATTCAACTACCACGTGATCGAACGGTTAGCGGCAAAGCCAATGTTCTGTGACACTTTAACGTATCTTCTTTTTCTAGGCATCTTGTCTGGTCCCTGTCCAGGTGACCTCTGCGTGGCCGAAGGGAAATAGCTTTTATTAGCTCTGTGGCCGCGCTATATACATTTTATTTTGCATAAAAATATTAAAAAAAATAAAATATTAAATTCTTTTATAAAATTATACTTAATAATTTTATATCTAATTACAATGCCGGATTCACGAGTAATTTTATAATATTAAATTATTTAATTTGAATTTCAATGTATTTGACTGCATTATCACATCCAAAAATCTTGGATATTAATCTAAGGGTACAATCATATCTTAAAAATATAATACTAAAATAAAAAATTAATATTATAGAAAAAAATAAAATAAAAAATATTAATTAAAAAAACAATAACAAAGCAAAATATTATTCTAGTGAATACTACTTTGCAAGGAGGGGTATGGTTGAGATTACAATAATCTAATAAAAAATAAACAAAATAAATCATAAAGTTTAACTCTTAATCAAATTAATATTAAAAGATAAAATTAGAAAAAAAAACTAAAGATATTAAAAGATAAAATTAAAAAAAAAAACTAAATAAAAACAAAAAATTGAGTCAACTATTTTAACCCGCTAATTTAGGTAAACCCGTTAAACTTGAAATTTATGTCATGAGAGTGTGATAACTAAATAAAAAAAATTAATATTAACAAACTTAGTTAAAGAAAAGAGTAACAAAAAAAAACCTATAATTTAAAGATATATGTCTTTCATTATGGATTTATACAGTATAATCCACGGTAAAAGGTTGATCTCTTTTAGTTATAATTACAATATTAAAAGATGAAATTAAAAGAAAACATTAATAAAAAAATTAGCTACGTTAACCCATCAAACTTGATATTCTACAATATTAAAAGATGAAATTAAAATAAAATATTAATAAAAAAATTAGCTGCGTTAACCCATCAAACTTGATATTCTTGTTATGAGAGTGTGATAATTAAATAGAAAAAAATAATAGTAATCAATAAATTAAAAAATATTAATTAAAAAAAAACACAAAGGAAAAAAAACTATAGGAAGAAAAAAACTAATGAAGAAAAAGAAAAAATCTTAATTAATTGAGTTAACCAATCAAACCTGAGATTCGTGTAATAAAAGTCTAATAACTAAATAAAAATAAATTCAATATTAATAGAATAAATTAAAAAAGTAATTAAAAATAAAAAACAAAGGAAAAAAAACCTACATAAAGAAAAAAAACTAACAAGAAAAAAGAAAAAAATCATAATAAACTGTGTTATTTTGTCAAATCTAAGATTCGTGTCATGAAAGTTTGATAATTAAATATAAAAATCAATTAAAAATAAGAAAAAATAGGCATTAATCTTTTCATTGTGGATTACAGTCCATAGTAAAAAACATAAAAGGAGAAAAAAGCAAAACAAAATACAAAAAAAACTAAAGACATCAGCTTATAACTACATAGAAAAAAATGTAATTTTAATGAACTAAGTTAAACAAAAAATATATTAATTAAAAAAACCTATAGAAAAAAAACTTAATGAAGAAAAAAAAATCTAAATTAATTGGGTTAGCCTGTCTAACCTGAGATTTGTGTTATTAAAGTTTGATAACTAAATTGAAAAAAATATTAAAAAACTAAATCAAACAAAAAATAGATTAAAGAGGAAAAAAAAACCTATAGGAGGAAAAAAACTAACGAAGAAAAAAAATAAATTAAGAAAAAAAAATCTAAATTAATTGGGTTAGCCTGTCTAACCTGAGATTTGTGTTATTAAAGTTTGATAACTAAATTGAAAAAAATATTAAAAAACTAAATCAAACAAAAAATAGATTAAAAAGGAAAAAAAACCTATAGGAGGAAAAAAACTAACGAAGAAAAAAAAATGAATTAACCAGGTTAACCCATCAAATCAGGTTAATCCATCAAACCTGAGATCCGTGTTAGCAAAGCCTAATAACTACATAAAAATAAATTTAATATTAAAAAATTAAATTATAAAAAAATTATTTTAAAAAACACAAAAGAAATAAAAAATAAAATAAAAACATCAGCCTTTACACTGTAAACTCCACTGTGTAGTTAATAGTAAAAAGTTGATGCTTTGTTGAGCCCTTTTAATAATAGTTAATATTAAATGATAAAAGTGAAAACAAATGAAGAAAAAAATTGAATGAACTTGGTTAACCCGTTAAATTAGGTTAATTCGTCGAACCTAAAATTCGTGTATTGAGTGTGCAATAATTAAATATAAATTTTTTTAATATTAATTAAAAAAAATTAAATATATTTATTAAAAAGAAAAAAGCCTACAGAAAAAAATGAAGAAAAAAAATAAACTAATTGGATTAACCGGTCAAACAAAGGATCCATGATATAAAAGTTTGATGACTAAAAAAAAAAAAATATTAACAATTGAATTAAAAAATTAATTAAAAAAATGAGTCTTTTAATTGTGGGTTGCACTATGCAGTTCACAGTAAAAGGCTTAGAAAGGAAAAAATAAATGTATACATCTTGGGTTAATTTGTTTTTTTTTCATGAATTTTTTTTTAAAAAAAAACTATTATCTAAAAGTGTTAGGTTTTTCTACAAATATATATTAAATAGCCTTGGGTCTAGTTGCAATAGCTGACTCAAAAAAAATATTTATAATATTAATAATAATATTAAACTTACACAACTCAAGTTTAAGTAAATTTGTTTATAACACCAGATTTAAGAGTTTTGAATATAAGTCTAATTGCAATGTCATTTCATAAAAGTGTGGTAGTGAAATAGATTAATTAAAAAGAAATTTTTTTTGACAAGTTAATCCATCAAACTCGAGATCTGTATCATGAAACTTTGATAACTAAATAGAAAGAAATTTTACATTAACAAACTAAAATAAAAAAAAACTAGTAAAAAGAATAAAAAAATATTTTTGGTTAACTCACCAAACTCAAGATTCGTATCATGAAAGTCTGATATGTAAATAGAAAAAAATTTAACATTAACAAATTAAATTAAAAGAAAAAAAAAAGAGAAAAAAAACCCGAAAGGGAGCAACCTTTTCGCTATGGACTAGATATTGGATTTGTGTTATGAAAGTTCGATAACTAAATAAAAAAAAATTCAACGAGTCAACCTGTCAAATCTAGGATTTGTGTCATGAAATTTTGATAACTAAATAAAAAGAAATTTAACATTAACAAATTAAATTAAACAAAAAAAATAATTAAAAAAAAAATATTTCAAATTAATCTATTA